AGAGTTCCAAGACTTCAAACTGAGTTATGGCTTCACCCACACTACTTCGAGCCCTCATTACCCCCAGTCAAATGGAGCTGCTGAAAGAGCTGTCCAAACGGCCAAGTACATTCTCAAACAGCCTGACCCCTGCTTAGCCTTAACGAGTTTCCGCTCCACACCAATTGTAGCAACCGGTGCAAGCCCAGCTCAACTTATGACAGGACGTCAAATCCGCACCACCGTCCCAGTACTCGAAAAGACATTGCTGCCCAGTCCAGTCAATAGGGACACGGTGTGCCAAAGAGATGCTGCAGCTAAGGACTCTTACAGATTCTTCTACAACCGCAGACATTCAGCTTGTCCACTTCCTGAGCTTCTCCCAGGCCAGGATGTTGTAGTGAAGCTCGACGGGGAAAAGGGGTGGACGACTCCAGCTAAGGTCATCAGTAAGTCTAAGGAGCCGAGATCCTACTTGGTGGAGATGGCGAATGGGAACGTGACTCGCCGCAACAGACGACACCTTCAGCCTGTCCCAGGAGCAGCCTGAGGAGCAGCAGCAGAGCACTGTTCCAGCTACACCGACTACTCCAACTAAAGGGGCGGCTGCTTCCCAAGAACCACCAGTAAGGCAGACATTGCCAATCCCTGTCTCGGGGTCTCCTCTCCACCCTACCACACCTGTGAGAGTGACTTCCAGGGGGCGGGAGATTAAAGTACCTCTCAGATTCAGAGACTGAGGACTATCTCCTTTCTATGTTCTAAGGGCAGAATAATCCCTTATCAGGACTGAGGGTAGTCTACCCCCGTGATGTCCTGCGTTCTGACAACACTGTTTTATGTTTAAAGTACTTTTGTTAAAGGGGGAGATGTTGTGAAATCTGTTTATGTTGTCCTAGTAAGGCTACCATGAGGGCAGCCACTAGAGGTCGCTAGGAGACCGGTGTGTATAGGTGTTTGCCAGAAATTGATGTAGCGACGTACACTGCTGCTACAATTCAATAAAAAGCGGTTCGTGCTTGAGAACCCTGCGTCTTATTGCCTCCGAACATGACAGTCACACATCTGGACGTTCTGTGAACCTACGAGATGAAAGGATGTCGCAGTGTTCCAAGATCACATCAGAAGTCCTCGTGCTTTTAATGATGAGTTATCTCAATGTCATAGATCTGAATTCTTTTTTTTTTTTTTTTTTTCTAAATGACATCAGAAACAGCAGTATGCGACATTACGTGATGGCAGAGCTTCAGTTCATCCTTTGTCATTTTTTTTTTTTTTTTTTTTTTTTTTTTTAATAAATAGGACAGGGGGAATGAATGAGAGAGAGAGGGGGAGAGAAAGAAAGAAAACCAAAGGGGAGAAGAGACGGTGAGAAGGGGGGGGAAGAGAGAGAAAAAAAAAAAACTCCTGGGTCACCTGTATGGAGAGAAAAAAACAACAACAAACAAACAAAAACAAACAGAGGAGACAGCAAACAACAAAGAGCAACATAATAATAGAGAAAACAAAGCACCATCACAATAAACTAGCTAGTCATAGATATCAGTATTTACTAAGTAATAAACGATATTGTGCAGCACGCAAGATAGACAGCGCACAGTGTGCTTTGAGGCAGCAGCCAAGAAAGCTTTAGTCCGCGTCTGTGAATACCCATGTGTGCATACCTGTGTGGATCAGCATGCTTGCATTCCAAAGGTTTCTCCATGTAATGATCAACCCGTTCTCACTCCCAAAGCGTAACATTTTACGCTAGGTGACAAATCGTCACCATATTACGTTTTCGGCTACCCACCACGTTCCTAAATGACGACCTCGGAAAAAGAGGAAATATGAGAACCGTCTGGACTGAACCTACACATGTTCGCTCTTTTTCTTCAAATCGCTTAGAAACACGCTATTTAACATCATTAAAGTCCTGGTTAAGGTCAGGAATAAGGTTATGGTCAGGGCTAGGGATAAGGTTAGGTTTAGGGCTGGAATACAGGGCTGGAACGTCTACTACCGCGGGAGCGTCATTGCACTGGATTCCAGCCATAACCCGCCGCGTACCATAAGAACGCCGAAGGTCTCCTTTCGCATTCCTCAGGAACACCGCGGGACGTGACAAAACGTCGACATGTTACGCCTCGGGAGTGAGAACGCTCTGTAATGATCTGCTAGGGAGTGTGGGGGGGCCACAGCCCCGTCCTCCAGGGTGTGAAGCGGGTATGGAGGAGATCAAAACTCCAGACATCCAGAGGCATCCAGAACACAAGAGACCATGGAAGACCAACAGAGGGGCAGCCGCGCCACTGTCCCAGTAGATCTGAATTCTAGACGATTCTATGAGCTGAAGGCAAGAAACGATGTCCTTACACCATTTGAGAGTTATAGAAATGTTTGTTCAAAAGAAATAAGAGTCCAAGCATTCCTGAAAATGGTATTTGTTTATTTATATTTTGGGAATTCACTGAAAACAGATGAACAGTGCATGTTAGAAATGACTGAACAGCAGCCAATAAGGCAAAAACTTAAACAGAAGATCCAAAATTATTATTATTATTATCAACATTGCTATAAGTTAACAAACCCTTACAAACATCCGAGCTTTAAGTCAGTATTTTCACGTCACTCACAGCAGAAGTTAGGTCCTCTCTGAGTCCTAATGACAAATCATTTTCAGTAACTGGATCAACAACGAACACTTTGGTCGGCCATGTTTGGACCTCCAAAAACTGTTTAAACAAACACATCAGTTTGTGTAAAACTTTGTTAACATCAAAGTATCTTTACAAAGTCTGCAGCATCTGCAACTTCAGCTACCTCGAAACAAAGTTTTATTGATGCAACAGCAACACAGTAATGATGTAGGCCTGAACAATGTGGCTAAAACAACTCGTATCCATGTTTAAAAGAAAAGTTCACATCAAGTGTCATATAATGAAAACCTCAAGAATATGATGTTTTTGTTTTTGCCACAACAAATCTCAGATAGTAATAAACACCCACACTGGTCACATCTGTGCGATTTCTCTCCGGTGTGCATAACTTTAAATAATCTAACGTAAAAGTAATTTAATTACAGTAACGCGTTACTTAGTAACACACATTACACCCAACACTGGTCCAGACGCTTTTCTTTACAAGGTCCCTTGACTACGATGACCTGGATGACTGAGAACCTTCACAGACAACCAGTTTGTTTGGTTATCTGTCGAAGCTGGGTCTGTTTGTTGGTGTGAAGCCAAACATACTTGGACACAAAAGGTCACAATTTTCCACAACACATGTTGCAGCCTCATTCAAAATTGATTCATTTGTTTTCTTTTCCCCTCGAAAATATTACAAACATGTTTTATAAATGTTTCAAATTTATTGAAAATATTGTTTTTTAAATAACATGATGTCATCGCCTCCAAATGAATTGCTGAGTTGAGCCTCATATTGACCTCTGAACTCAGCAGAAACTCTTTAATTTACAGCTCACTGGTTTGCCTTGTTGCTCTTGATGCTCTCTCCCCTTCTCTTTGTTGGATCGTTGACTCTCCTGGACATCTTTCTCATGAAGACCAAGAGGAAGATGATGGTGCAACTGATTTGAAATGTTTTATGAAGGACACTGAATGACGTACTGAAGAGGGGCCCACAGTAGCAACGGTCAGAGGTCAGAGGATTGTGAGTGATGAAAAACATAATGTTGTAGGTGATTGTTGGAGCCAGGAGAAAAACTCAGGTGACCGTGGAGATGACGTGGGCAGTTCGTACTGTCTGCAGGATGTGAGTTCCTGAAGGATGGATGAGATAGATACCTGCAGAGAGAAGAGAAAATGTGGTAAAAAAAAACTTTAAAAAAAAGTCACAGTGGTGCCAAATATGCAGAAGTCACTATACGGTGAAAATAAATATTCATGTTGTTGCTAGGACTGAAGAGTATATACACACACACACACACACACATATATATATATATATATATATATATATATATATATATATATATATATATATATATATATATATATATATATATATATATATATATATGTAAATAACCCAATAATCTGGTTTTAACATTCTCGTGAACTGCAAATGATACTCAGTAAAGGTTCCTTACCTGTTAACAGCGATGTACCCCATGAACAGGATGCTGGCGTACATGTTGAGGTACAGGGAAGTAGCTCCAATGCTGCAGTGGAGTATGTAAACAATGCCAGAGCTGCTGGCATAGTGGATTATCCGCAATGGCAGAGAGAGGCAGAGCAGGAAGTCAGCAGCTGTCAGGTGCTTCAGGTAGACCATCAAGCTGTTTGAGGCCTGCTGCCGAACTTGGTGAAAGTAAAACTTTAGGATGAAGCCATTGAGGAGTAAACCCACCTGAAGAGACACCGAGAGGATGAAGAGGACAGGACTTTCAAACATGCAGGTTCTAACAGGGCGCAATCTGAAAATTTTAACCGTACCTGTTAATAGGAAAATTGTACTTAGTAGTCAGTATAATCTTTTAATGATATAAGTTTGCATATGGTAGAATGCTGCATGTAATCATTTGTGTGTAGAAGTATATAGTTGGTGGCATATTGAAAGAATGTCTCATCCTAGGAGGTCTGTAACATTCTAGGGTGTTCACCCCCACATCCTAGGAGCATGAGAGAGGTCGTACCTTGTCTTATTGTTTTATGGTAGGATTAACGTAGCTATGTCAGTTTTAGTCTAAGTGCCTTTTGTTTAGATGAACTGCTGGACTTCTTCACTGTGTTATCTAGGGTGAACCATCTAGGGTGAGGGGGAGACTACCCTCTTCCTGACCAAGGATGTTTCCTTTTGTGCTTTTATGTTATATGACCCTTTGATCAGCAGGACACACACACACACACACACACACACACACACACACACCCACTGAAGCATATAAATAAAGACCGGGGCAGTTTCTCAGTGCGAGTCTGTTCTGGAGACTGCCCTTGCTAGCAAGAAGTTCTGTGTGTTTCTCTTCTCTGAGTCTTTACTGAAGAAGTGTTTTAGAGTATATTTCTTAACAGTACCAGAAACAGCAGACTGTAGACCAGCATAAAGAAAGGGTTGACTGATGGGATAAAAAGATCATGCGTGTGGTTGAGAGGTGAAGTCATATTTGTTGAGTCAATCATGCTTCTGTGGCTGAAAAATAAATACAAATCACAGAGGTTCTTCAAGACCAACCTTCTTTCATCTGATCAAAGTTAATTTATGTGTTTGAGGATGATTATTGTATTTAATCCTCAGAAAGCTTTCACTTGATACAAAAATGACGGCACATGTAGATTAAAGCAGTCACTTATACTATCACATTACCATAATTAGATTGATTTTTTTTCTTGTGTTTTACACTTTTCTCCCCGACACTCTTGGTCGTGTTTTATTTGAAGTGCAACTGGACATTGACCCACAAACTTTCATGAGAGTAGTAGCATGCCTTCTACTCTTTTTGGGACTTTTCACCACCACTTCTGGAGAACCTCTAAGCCATCCCATTGTTTACAGTAGGGAGCAGCTACTGGGCAACAGGTACTCCCGGAGGAGCAACCCAAGATTGCGAAGAAATTACGGCATCGGAGGAGGGGATGCAGGGCTGGAGTGAAGTAACGGGAAAGAAGGAGATGGTACAAACCAAGCATTCAATCCATTCTCATGGGTAATGTAAGATCTTTACCCAACAAGATGGAAGAGCTAATTGCGCTAACCAGACTGCAGTGGGAGTACCAGCAGAGCAGCCTCCTACTGTTCACTGAGACATGGCTCACGGACCACACACCGGACTCTGTCATAACTGTGGATGGCTTTCAACTGGTTAGAGGTATGCAATGGAGAGTGGTAAGAGGAGAGGTGGGGGACTGCCAATGTACATCAGTGAGCGATGGTGTAACCTGGGACACATCACTGTGAAGGAACAGCGCTGTACCAAAGACATTGAACTGTCAGCAGTTAGCGTCCGGCCATAACAAAAGCTCAACACTGCGCCCAGCATCCTGGAGCACTTCTGTTGTCTTTTGTACGTGTTTTGGAGTTTGTACGTCCTTTGTCTCTAGGGGCCACCGTAAATATACTTTTATTTATTCTCTCCACATAAAATGTAATAAATAAATCATGTAATACAAAGACCAACTAGTCACAGTTCAAATTTTCACTATTTAAATTTTCAGCTTTTTCCTTTTACAAATTTAAAGTGAAACAACACAAAACACTGCAAACCACAACACAATTAAATATAAATTATAATATGAAAACAAAAAGAACATGCATATTCTCTGTCATATGGGCCTGCATGAATAAACTTTCTGAATCCTTTATCATCCGCAACTGAAAATAGTTGTGGATGATTACTATACCTTTCTAATGTGATGTTGTTGTCCCTGGCTCTCTTTCTCTCTCTTTCCCTCTCTCTCCCTCCCGCTCTGTTCCTGTGCTACTGAGAGTGTAACTACCGCCCCTCCCCCCTCTTCCCAGCGCAAAACACAAGGCTCGCGTGCTGAGTGACGCGGGAAAAAAAGTGCGAGAGGGAGGGTGAGAGAAGGAAAAAAAAAAAAACATGGCTCGCGATAAGAAGCCGGCTCGCGTCGTTCACGTCAAAGATCCAGCTCTAAGAGCCATTTCGTTCGTGACCGACACATCACTAATGAAGGCATCACACTGATAAAAAACTGCACTGATTTGTGTAGGAAAAGTTTTGGGGACAGTTTTTTTTTTTAATCCATGATGATATAATATAATATAATATAATATAATATAATATAATATAATATAATATAATATAATATAATATAATATAATATAATAGCAAGGCTATCAAAGTTGTGTGGAGCTGTTCTCCCCATGTCTGCAGGGCTTCTCTCTGGGCTTCCTGTCCAAGTCCAAAGATTTGCGTGGGATCAAGTTGATTTTAAATTTGTCTTGTAAATAAACATTAATAGTTCTGTGTTTGCTCTGTGACAAACTGAGGACCTGTCACGGGGTGTACCCCGCTTCTCAACCTCTGACAGCTGAAATAGGCAGCAATGTTTGGCTGTTTTAGATTTAAAATTCCAACACTGAATCATTTAAACAGCACTTAACATTTGTCAGCATCAGAAAAAAAGTGCAGAAATATTTGGTTTTCTTTAACTGTCACTTTAAGGTTTCTTTCAGGTGTTAAGTTGAATAAAACTGGTTTAGTAAATTTTCTGGGCTTTAATCACTTGGTTTTAGTTCCCTGCTGTAGCTCCACAGTCTCAGGGATGGACAGCCTGAGCACTGACAGAAAGCAGACAGCAGGTGGCAGCACATCACCAAGAGTAGTTCTGCTCACTGTGAATCTTCATCCCCAGTCTAACACAACAGAGGCCTAAGGTGACATTTAAATGTTCCAATCAGGGCACATTCAAACAAATAAAAATAGAAGTTTATCTCTAACACTGATAATTCCTGCTGTCAGGACAATGCTTTTAAAGAATACCAGTCAGCTGTAAAAATAGCTTTTAATCTTTATTTATATAAAAAAAAACATTGAAAACAAAATGTAAACCAGAAAAACATTTACATGAAACAAGTATTTTGTTCTGAAAAGTGCAAAATGTTTAGGAAACAAGATGACAAAGATTTTATTAGAAACTATGCTCAGTGGTGACATCAGCCATAGCATCATCATACGGATGGTCTTCATCTTCCTCAGTGGGTGGAGACATTGTTCTTTGATGTGAGCTTCTTCCTGTTAAGTGTATAGTGGGCATTAATTGTGTGAAACAATGCAAATGACCAAAAACTGACAGCCCACATCTCACTGATTGTTTAACAAAGAGAACATATCAAAAGTAATTCTTTTAGATTCAATTCTCATTTTGAACCTAATGGCCCTTGATATATGCACACTTCTTGTTTTCCTTGCAGTGTTATCTGCCTCTCTGCAGCTTCTCTATTCTCTATTCCTGCCATCCCCCCAAAACCTCATCCCTATGGAGACTGTCTACTTCTAGACCACCAGAAATCAGGCAGAAGAATCCAACCTTGGTCACAAACCACAGTTTGCTAGCCAGTGGATCCAGAATGCACTACTTCCAGAGACAGAGGATGACTATAAATCATAGCGTTTATTTGTAATAGCAAATAAAACAAACTAGACAGAGACTACACGCATAATGAGGGAGGACGCGACAAAGAACAGCAGCAGACACAGACTATAAATACACTGGAGGTGATTAGGAACGAGTGGAAACACCTGGGAGCACAGCTGGGCAGCAGACGGACAAAGGACAAAACATAGATGATAATGGAAACAGGAACGGATAAACACAGGATTTAACTAAATGGATGGATGGGTGATATTTGAACATAATAATGTTACCTGTAGACCCACGATATATAGAGACCATGAGGAATGTAGAGATTATATATGGAAAGTACACCAAGATGTGGCGCAGCATTCCCAGAGAAGACAGGTTTTTGTCTGAATCTGACTGTGAGGCGGGAGCATCAGGATCTAGAAACAAACAAGCACAGCTGGTTCAGTAAATAAAGAAAATCAATTTAAAAAAGATGACAGTCACTTGATTCTTTGGACTTTCAAAGCTTTCAGTCATCCTGTTTTACCTATAATGAACAGCCAGCTGGATGGAGACTCTCCCACACTCATGTTACACTTGTAGATGCCTTCATGAGACTTGGTGACATTATAGATGATCATGTGACCTCTAGGCTCAGTACCAACAATAGAGTTATCTTTGTAGAAAGTTGCTGGGAGGGTGGACTGAGTGTTCTTTGTTTCACAGAGCAGAGTAACATTATCTCCCTTCATCATGGGGAGGACGGGACTCTGCAGGATTACCGGAGTATCTCGACCTGCTCGGAGATAAAGTCCATCATTCTTCAGTAAGGAAGATAACTCACAAGTAAACAACATTCAAGAGAGTTGCAAACTTTCCCAGGAGTGTAAATCCCAACAGAAGTAGGGTCTAAGGTCCGACCGTGCAAGTGTCAGCCGTCATCCACCTGCTTCCCTTTCCCTCATTCCTCTGTGATTTTCCAGGAGATTTGTGTAAATGAGAGGACAAGCAAGCATGCTGCACGTAGACACGCAGGGAGCGGAAACTAGGACCACGGACACTGGGAGAAGACACAGCATGGGAATCGGGGACGCACACTCATCAGGATCACGCATGGGATTTATCGGGTCATGACTATTTGCTGCACTGTAAATAAAAGTGCTGTATTCATCATACAGAGTCCTGCGTTTGGGTCCTATAATCCTGACAGTCAGTTGTTTTTCTTCCTCAATAGAAAACAGCTAATAAAAGCTGCGAGTACTGCTTTGGGTTACACTTCCTGCCTGCCACGCAATGGTTACAAGACATTCACAATGATTTCCCTTCAGCTGGTTCAGAAAAAGGTTAGTTTCTCAAGGTTTCATGCCCCCCTCCCACACACATGCACCCTTCAATTGTATCTGCATCTGTCTCTTGGTTCTTTTACAACTTTCAGTTGTTGGGACAATTATGTTTACTTTTAGTCGTCCCTCATTCTTAGAAAATTTGAAGAGTTTCTGTTTCTAAAGGGTTTTTTTACTGAACATACCATGAACAGTGATGTTGACTGAGTTGCTCCGCTGCTGTGTAGCAGACTCGCACCAATAAACCGCGCTGTCAGGCTGCTTGGTCGTAGGGAGGACGCAGCCATGGGAAACGACTTGCCCCCATGCTTGACAACTGGACAGGTCTTCAGCAAATGTTGTGAACCTCTTTACTGTCCATCCTTGAACACCACAGTTCAGGTTCAGGCTCTTATACTCAAACAGCTGAGCTGTGTTGGGAGACGGTGTGAGAGTTGGGGGGTCAGCATCATCTGGGGACAGAAGCAGACTTTACATCAGTGTGTTTAAAAATTTGTTCAGCTGCATTCAAGATGGTAAAAAACTGCACAACCTTAAGATGACCCTTTGATTGCTTTTCACTTTTTTCTTGGACAAAAACTAAACTAATCTGAAATGAAAAGCACACAAATAATACTCCAGCAGCCAAAGGGATCACAGGTTTTTTGAGTGAGTGACCTCACCCAGCATATTTTTCCCTAGTGACCGATGGTTATCAGATGTTCTCCAGTCCTGAGTAACTTCAGCTTCAGCTGCTCTTATTCAGTCGCTTGATTTTAAAATGTAAGGAGGTTTCTGGTAGCTCGAGATTATAATAAGAGTTTGTACAAACCACCAATTGTGTTGTTTTGTTTTTCCATCTGTTAGACACCTCTAAAATGTTTAGATCTACGGTTGACTTGATTCTTCGTTCTTTACCTTGTATCAGCAGCCAGCTGGATGGTGAATCACGACCACCAATGCTGCATTTGTAGGAACCTTGATGAGCCTTTGATGCTTGGTAGATGGTCATGTGACGTGCATTTTCCTTTTTGATGAAGATACCATCTTTAAAGAAATCAGCTGATTTGTTGGAGGGATTCTTTGTTCTACAGAGCAGAGTGATGTTATCTCCCTCCACCACAGGGGCAGCAGGAATCTGCAGGATGACTGGGTTCTCTAAACCAACAGAAAGGCAAAAAATGTTGTTGCTTGACTTCAGGTGATGAGACAGCCTAGAGGGAAGCAGTGACTGACCTAGAACAATGGTGGTAAGAAAATCAACTGTCTCTGAACGTTACTATTTTCTTGGAGACGTTCAGAGACAGTTGATGATGATGATGATGATGATGATGATGATGATGATGATGATGATTATTATTATTATTATTATTATTATTGACCGGCTTTCAAAAAATGAATTAAAAATTTGGGTCTTAATTCATTAATTAGCTGGAGTGAAAGATTGCTGCCACTCCCCCTCCTGGGCTTTTGCTTTGGGTATATAATACATTTATATATTCCTATGATGCCCCTGAGACAATCCAGCACATTACAGCAGGGTGCAAGATGCTAGCAGGCAGGGCATACATGGAACGCCATAACACAACACAGGACCCTCAAGCTCCCAGGCCTCTGGTAGAGGACCTGAGCTTGAAGGATAGATCGCCCGCAGGGGCAAGAGGGGAACACACAAATGTCAATGTTGATGTGATAATAATGCATAAATGCAAAAACATTTAAACAGCTTTATTTTTTTTTTTTTGACACAGAATTAACAGCCTGTGATCTTTGGCCTGCCCCCTTTTTCAGAAATCAGGAAGCAACGCAGCAGTTGTAGATTTGAGCAGAAATAGATAAAGGAAAAGGTCTTTTGAACAGCAAGTTCAATTTTGCCATGCAATGCCAGATGGTTTTCTTGACAAAAACAAAGTAAATTGAATTTGAATTTACTGTCGATGTGAACTGAGTTATCACCATAGTACATCCAGTCTCAAATACCACTTGCTAACCAAGCACATAGCTAACACAGAGAGACCTCCTCCCTCTCGCCAAAGGCAGACCACGCTGGATAGTTTTCAAAGGAGACGTCTGGACAATTCTACAACCAACAAATTTTCAACAGCCATAGCAAAATGGGTGGCTACAGCATGGAGGCCAATTATCATTGTGGAGGATGAGGGGCTACTTGAAATAATTTGCGACTGCACGTATGAATTGCCTTCGAGAGCCACCACTGTAACCAAGATACACAACTTGTATGAAGATGAGAAAACCAAAGTCGAGGAGGCTTTGGGGCAGACCAACACGGTTGCACTCACTGGAGACTATTGGACTTCTCCAAGTAATCATACCGCGATCGTGACTCAAGAGTTGGGAGTTCGCCTTGTAATCGGAAGGTTGCCAGTTCAAGCCCCGGCTTGGACAGTCTCGGTCGTTGTGTCCTTGGGCAAGACACTTCACCCGTTGCCTCCTGGTGGTGGTCAGAGGGCCCGGTGGCGCCAGTGTCCAGCAGCCTCGCCTCTGTCAGTGCGCCCCAGGGTGGCTGTGGCTGCTTGCCATCACCAGTGTGTGAATGTGTGGATGACTGGTTGTGTAAAGTGCTTTGGGGTCCTTAGGGACTAGAAAAGTGCTATACAAATACAGACCATTTACCATATACCCTGGAATAACAGCACATTATTTTTTCACCACAGAGGGAACTTCACTCGCATGCTTTGACTGTTATGAAGACGGAGGAGAGGCACTTCGCTGACACGTGCGGCGTGCACTTTAAGCATTTAGCTAGACAGTGGGGAATTGAACATAAAGTCAGCACGCTGACCAGTGACAGTGCACACAACATGGTTAGCGGCCAGGCAGCTGCCATTTGAGCACATGCCTTGCGTCGCACACAGCCTTCATCGAGCCATCACACAGAACAGTCAATTTAACTTTGCATTGGCAAAATGCAGAAAGGTCAAAGGCCTTTTTAACCTTATACAAATGAATGTAACAAATTCTTAATGAAGTGTGTTTCTCTAAAACTGCAGGTATATATCTGAACTTTTGGGAGGGTTCAGTGGTGCTGCCAGCGATGTGTCACCTGTCGCGAGTGATGGAGGTCTCTGAGGATGACCCAGCTTACATGGTTAAGTTCAAGGAGACCTTCAAAGCAAAAATGGAGAAGCACAAGGAAGAAACTGGCGTCATGTTGCTCAGGGTTGCGACAGCACTGGATCCTAGGTTTCTTAGCAGACCTGACAGGGCTGAGGTGTGGCGCTTGATCAGTGCATTGCTGAGGGAGAGGGAGAGGCCTGCATAGCCTGAACAACCAGCAACATATGGTAAATGGTAAATGGCCTGTATTTATATAGCGCTTTACTAGTCCCTAAGGACCCCAAAGCACTTTACATATCCAGTCATCCACCCATTCACGCACACATTCACGGCAAGCTACATTGTAGCCACAGCCACCCTGGGGCGCACTGACAGAGGCGAGGCTGCCGGACACTGGCGCCACCGGGCCCTCTGACCACCACCAGTAGGCAACGGGTGAAGTGTCTTGCCCAAGGACACAACGACCAAGACTGTCCAAGCCGGGGCTCGAACCGGCAACCTTCCAATTACAAGGCAAACTCCCAACTCTTGAGCCATATGAGCCATCTAAGAAAAGATCAGCTCTCACGCTTGCATCACAGTATTCATCTGATGAAGAGGAGGACTGTATTGAGAAGTGTGTGGCTCAAGCACTGAGATGGTACCTTAAACGCAAGTACGTGGCAGCACTTGCCACATCCATACCATGTGAGAGGTTATTTTCACTTTCTGGCCATGTTGTTCAGAAGAAGCGCTGCCCTGTCGTCTGAAAATGTCAAATGCTTGAGCAACTGGTTCAGTGCAAAGAAACAAATGCACTGTATGTTATTAGTTCTTTTTTTCTTTCTCCTTTGTGGTGTTTCCATGTTCATGTTTTGTTAGGAAAACAGAAAAAGGAAGACGCTTGTGTTGCTCAGCCTCTCCTAAATACAAGTGGAGAGCAACAAGAGGTATAGCCAGACTGTTTTATATAGACTTATGTATAACACTCTCCACAGTTACATATGCTTTTTATTTATTGTATTATGGTTTTTAGCGTGTATAGTGTCTCCCTGTTTTGATCCCACTTAGATGGGAATATGTTTTTTGAGCTTTAACAATCTAATGGTAAATTAAACAGTCACATTTTATAAAACACTGCCGTGTATAGTAACAGTGTTACAGTTGTGTTGATTTATTTGTGCATGTTGCAAAGGTTCAATGAAGAGAGGAAATCTAAATTACGCATATAAGAGTCACATTGAATTTCACAACAAGCCTTGAGTATGTGTATTGTCCTAAAACAGGAAGCAGAAGGATGAAGTATTTATGTGGCTTTGCCTACAGTCATGCTGAGATGCAGTTTGATGACGCTTACCACTGACAGCGATGTTGATGGCATTACTGCTGTGACCGTGTGTGGACTGGCACCAGTAAACACCTGAATTAGAACGCTTGACTGTCTTCATTTCACAGGTAGAGGAAGACTCAGTACCCAACCCGAGGTGCAGTCAGACAGTTTCAATCTGAGGACACATTATACATTTTAATCAGTTACACATGTGAAATTTATTTATTTCAGTTCCTAAAATGATTAATGAATTAAGTAACAATTTATTTCTGTAATGGACTGGATTTAACTCTCCATGTTACACTGAACAGTTTCTAAATTATTCGAACATTCTCAAACAAGGACGAGGACATGATATAATAGCATTTTCCAGATATCTCCTGGTATCCTTATCACTCACAAAGTGGTTCTGTTGCTCTTATTCCAACTTACTAAATATCAGTTTTTCAGTAGTTTGTCACGAGACCTTTTGAATTTGTTCTTCATTTTTCTTGCTGATTTGTTTCTTTTCTTCTGCTTTTTCTTTGCTTTCACTGAAAGTGATACGACTGCTGTGAAACAGCAACCCTACTCACTGAAAAATAAAGATACTGAAACAAAAGGGTAAATGAGCCATACGTGAAGGTTGACAGCATTGACTGACAGCCCAAGAATAACACAGTACCAACTTTCATGGTTACATTTGTAACAGTTTGTAACCAGTAACCAGTTTGACCTTTAAAACCCAAGTATTAAAAAGGCGGAGCTTTCCAGGGTGGCTGAAGGTACACCAGGTAGAGCCGGAGCTTTACTAATTAGGTTGGTGGTTCCATCCCAAATTTCAGAAAACAATTTAAGGCAAAGAAGGGTTAACATGAGCCATGAAAGAGAGGCTTTGGCTACCGGACAGAGTTAAATCTCTACTAATGCTTTTATCACTATACTTCTCCAAACAGGGTGAAGTGGTAAAAAAGATTAAGTCTTAAGTCAGATGCTGTGTTTTTGTTCTTGTTTTTTGTCATGAAGATGGCTCTCCTTTTACCAAACTAGTTCACTGTAGTAACTGATACTAAACGTGCAATATGATCTGTAGTAGGCCAAAAGTTCAAAATCAGCAGGAAGTGCCACAGTTTTACTTTATCTGCAGTTATAAGTGCTACACAGACTCCCTGCTCAAGGACTAGGTTTCTAAAAATGTCAAAATCAAAAGTTTGGTTGTCCTCATAGCTTCAACTTGTTAAGCAGCAATAATTAGCTCAAGATGCAAATAGAAGCAACATCACCTAAGGATAATTCAACTTTGAATACAACTATAAGAATAGTGATAAAACTGTATTTTACTATATTTCTTATTATATGGATGGATTTATGGATTCTTAATATGTATGAACAGATAATCACAACCCAGACTAACATTATCTGAAATAAGGAAACACACCTAAAGGGCGATTAATAGCGTCTGGAAATTAAATGTATATTGGATTTGTTGTTAGTTGAGTGAAACATTAATAATGGTCTTCCTTTAACCTGTCAGATTTGTTCTGTGTGCATTTTGGTATTTCAGAGGTAAACTGACCCTTCTGTAGTGTATCTCCACACCGTCCATTCACCAGAGGTTATCTCGTCACAGCTGAGAGTAATTTTCTCGTACTCAAAAAACTGAGACCAGTTGGGAATGACCTTCAAAGAAGCTGAGAGAGACAGAAGAACAGTAACAGTAACAGTTTTAGTTTAGTTTAATTTTACAGTTTACAGTAACAGAAGAACAGTAGGGTTTTTCCTTTCAGTATCAGTCATTTTTTGAGTGTCTAGACACAAAGACACATTTCACTTCTCAATATTTTGCTTTGAAGGAGAAAGACTTTCTTTTAATTTTTTTAAAGAGGTCTTGATCAGCAGTTCTCCAGGCTTTCTGAAAGTCTATCAAAGACTTTACTTGGATATTGGCTCCTTTGGCACTCATTTCTCGAACCATTTTCAGATAAATGTTTGTTTTGGGGTTTTTTTGTTTGGTTTGGTTGTAAACACTGAGTAATGAATCCTTCCAACACCTAAGACATGACCCAGTATTGTGTCACCACATAATAGACAAATGGTAAATAGACTGGCGCTTTTCTACTCTGCCTGAGCACACAAAGTGCTTTATACAACTAATTCATTCACCCAATCACACCCATTCACACAAGCACTTCTTCCAAGATTAAGTGCTAAGTATCTAACATTCAAACACATTCACACTCCGATGGATGCATCGGAGAGCAACATGGGGTTAGTATCTTGCCCAAAGATATTTGCCATGCAGACTGGAGCAGCCTGGCATCAAACTACCGACCTTCTGGGTACACTGAAAAAAAGGGACTGGCCATCTCTTGGATTTATGTAAGCATCTTGCATGTATTTAACACAATTGCCTCATGTTTTAAAGTTAAATGTAACTATATAGTGTAGAAACTACATGATATGCAGAAAGGGTGTATTAAATTGTTTATATCATGTTCAGGTGAAGTAAGTCAATAAGATAGCAACGTTAAATCTCGTGAAACCACGCGTGATTTCATCTCGCGGGCTTTGGATCGTGGTTTAAAAAATGCATCCATCTCAGTCAAGTCAAGCAGCCAACTCTACGTTTTTTGGTATGTCTTGATTTTTTGAATTAATTTTTACCATATTTCAGCCAAATGTAGTTAAACGTCTAAAGTGCCGCCATGTAACATGCTAAAAAAAGAGCCGTTAGCTTATTTGCTGTTTTATCTGTTGTCAAAGAATTGGCGCTTTTTCATTTGAATTTGTCTTTGGCACAAGAGCCATAATATCACATTAAACCTAATTACGAGGCACTCATAACATAATTTGGTTTTCTGTGTGAATAGATTTGTCAACTGACTCTTCAGTTACATTGTGTATTTACTGCACCGTGGTGTTAGTGAGATTTTGGACATTGAACAGCTTTAGCTAATATCATCAGCGGCATTATGCTAGCTTACATCCCTACCCCTCCTGCCCTCACCTGCTGTCCTTTTGTTTTTGTTTTTGTTGATGCACATTGAGAGACCACATCTATTCTGCATTTCACCAGGAGTCAGCTGATGGATTGTGGGTTCAAGGTGTTATGGTAAGAAAGTATATTCTATTTTCGCTTAAGGTTTCTGTAACTTAATTATAATAGGTTTTTTTTATAATTATTAGGTGCATGCATACTCAAATAGACCACCCTATTAATACAACTGAGAAATCCAAAATCTGCCATAGGTTTAACTTATACCTGTATGTATCGTCAGAAAGGTGATTACTGGACTCACATTAATGCACACTTGAACTAAAATGAGGTTGTAACTTGTGGGTTCTTGGGTTGCAAATCAGAAATAAACATCTTTGGATTTTTTTAATCCCATAAGATCTGGAAACACAGTTTTTATTCAACAAAACATTACTGATTATTAACCAAGCACAGTGCCTGCTGTTATTTCAAATAATTTTATGTCATTTCAGATAAAATGCAGCATTCCAGTGCATCCCAACCATGCCTTTACAGGTTTCTGACGGAGCTGAGTTTCTCTCTGACAGTCTGCTGAAAGTGTTTGCAAAGTGATCGGGGGAACAGGGCACAAAGCTAAAGGATGTAGCTGCCATGATGACAGTAAGAACTTTAAAATTCTTTAACTACAAAGTGTATATGTATTGCATTAGGTCAGTAAAAGATTTTTATGCTGCATCCATTGAAACAGTCAACTATTACCTGTGAGTAATGATTCCACCGAAAGGATGCCATAATTTTCGTCATGCATTTACTGGCCCACTGAGAAAAATTTATCTTTTAAAAAAATAAATGTTCTGGAAACTATATATCCATAAAGTTGATGTCAAACAGGAACTTTTGATATTGCTTTGTAGATGCTGGTGTTGCATGTTGACTGGTTTAAGTTTTTGTCTGGGATCATTTTCTTCTGTGCTACTGAAAAGTTCACAAATCTCTGTTTTCTTTGTTATAATACTTTAGGATGACATTAATGCTCGAAGGGAGTCCCTCATCAAAGTGCTCCGCATCTGTGTGAAAGACAATTGCAACATCTTGGTGCAGGAGTTCATGGTGAGTGTTTTATGAGTAGATTGTGGCTTTGCAACATTTAAAAATGCATTTAGTTATCCACTTGATCCTCATTGGACTGGTTAGGACCAGTAGTCCTCTTTAACAATTTGAAGTTCACATGAGGCCTGGTAGTGAACTCAGCCGCCGGCCCTTGAGGCCCCACCCCTACCCCTGTATTAGGGGTCACATCAGTGTGAAAAAACTTTAAATTTGTCATTCTAGTGAACAAAGGAAAATCCCACCAGTATTTACATTAGCTTTTGTCTGAAAAAAAAAAGACCAACAGCTAACCAAATTGTGGGGCTGAAAGTCTAAATTCTAACATCTTCTGAGTGACATAACCTGGATTTCTGATGGGCCGGTGTCTTTCTAAGAAAAACTAATGTAAAGCATTTGAAATTATTATGTTTTTCACCCTCTCTTAGAAACTCTGTTAGACCATGAATGGCAGCATGGCAGGCCACTCTTTGGCTATAGCTATTTACTATGTTGCTTGCATTGGTTTAAATTACTCTAACATTAGAACTGGTAGATTCAAAGAGATGAGTTTAAAAAGGAATCTTAAAGAAATGTTTTGTGTTTAACCAGGACTTGACTGAGGCCACTGCACAGATTGAGAAAACCACAATGAACATCTGTCTCCAGAGGATGCACCAGGCAATGACTTTTCTGATGTTGGCATCATCATCGAGGGTATAGTAGTTCTTCAAGATCTGGATAACGTGACCTTTGCAGTAGCCATGCTGTTTGGACCATTTTTATTCCTTCAACATGAGTTACCCATCACAACTCTGCTACACTTTTGAGGTGATTCAAAGGGTGGTAATGGAGTTGGATGCAACTCAGCTCTCAAGAAAAACTCACAACTAAGACAAAACTGCTCCTGCAACGAAGCTCACTGTTATGCATGTGAGGTGATCAGCTCTAGGTGAGAGGACATTTAAATCTCACACTTGTTCTGCTGCATTTTTGAAGCTCAATTCCAGGAACGGATCGCAGGGTTCATTTTTATATACTATGCAACTGCCATGAGGACGAGCAGTTTTTTGTTGTTGTTTGTTTTTCCTTTTGCTCTGTACAGCATTTTGGCAGCATTTTTAAATTTCTCTTTGTATTTTTTCTTTCTTTTACTAGTGAAGAGATGTAGCGTGAACAGTTATGCAGTCTAAATATCCCATATGGGCCGTGTGAAATGGTATTTTCAGTTTCATTCAGTTGAAGTAAGGAATGTTGAATATTTCTAAGTGTGCTGTTTTGAACCAAGATGTCACAGTATGATCAGTGCTGTAACTTTTGACAGTCACTGTATCAATGTTATTTTTGCATCTCTTGAATAAAGGTTTTGACCTGCAAGTGCTAATTTCTTTAGTTATTGGGGTAAAATGGGTAATGTTAATAGGAAGGTGTTTGCCAATTCAGTAACCTAATTTAATGTTAATGGAAACTAACATTACCTCAAATTGTTTAGTCATAATTGTTGTTTAACTGAATCTTGACGTTAGAGGCCTTAAATAGAATGTTTTGATTTGTTCTTTCCCAACATTTTTCAAAAGAAACGGTCCAATTTCTTTGCTGTGATTGATTCCAGAGAACACGGAAGAACTGACATTATTTAACTGTTGGTTTATATAGATTCAGTAGTGGAGTAATGTCAGTTTAATTCTTTACCTACTGTCAATGCAGTGAAATTAGACATTTTGTTTTGAAAGGTTACTGGTGGATGCCAGCAACCATCTTGGAAGAGAACAATATAATCTGTTATAAGGCCTCCATTTGAAAATTGTGTATTTGATACTAGAATATAATAGCAAAATGTAATTTGAAGATAACATGTAGTATTTAAGTGACCAAGTAGTATTGGGTAAAAGTTATTGAATCGTGTTGGGATAAAGTGAGAAAATTGTGAAGGATTAAAATATTTCAAGAGCTCAAATTACTTCATCAAAACATGTTTAAGTCACATTTTATCAACACAAATTGCACAGGTTTATTGAACATGAATAAATTGTGTTAATTTAACTCAATTGTTTAAGTTGCTGCCAAAGCAAAACATCTGTGTGCAACAAATGTCCACCATTGAATTAAGTAAATCCAACAACATATTTTTTTCAGTGTAGTGGCTGATCTGCTCTGCCACCTGAGCTACAGCCACCCCAACAACTTGACAAAGAATTTAAAAATGTATCTGTAGACACTTTGTTACCTGCTGCTAAAAGCTATAATTTGCTCCAATTCCTTTAGTTGAGTCAATAAAAATTGGAACAGCATGAAATAGTATTTTTTGCACCAAATACCTATTAGCTAAAAAACTAGTCATGTACCCTTAAAGAAGCTAAAATAAAAGCCATTCTTAAAGAAGGGAAAGAGGGAGAAAAGGCAAAGGTATTGACAAAAGAACTGCACTGAAAGTGACAATTTTTAGCCATAACAGATCATGTGAAATGATAAAACGTTGGTTTAAATCATCATCAATATGTATGGAGGTCAGGAGAGAGGTGCAATAGTGAGTACAGCCATCTGTGCTATGGGGCTTCAGTTGGTGGTGTTGACGTTCTTGTCAAAGAGCAGCATCAGATTTTTCATCTATCATGAAATACCATCTGAAAAGCATCTGATTGATAGCAGATTGATTTTTCTGCATGGAAATGAGCTCAAACACTGCCACTGCAGTAAAAGTACACCTTGATAGAAAAACACGCCATCAGGAACACCATGAATCATAGTCATCAACATCCAAATAAGATTTTTGATCCTTCGAGGAGCCTGGAGAACTGTTCCTGAAGACTATCTAATGCAGCTCAGAATAATAAAGGATTTATTTTAAGCATTTTAGAATTCGACAAATTCTTTCCTCTTATAGGGTATTTCTATTTTCCTAGCAAAGTATAAAGAAATGAAGGGTGGATCACAACTACATCACAGAGGTGATGCACAAAAAAAGTAGCGAGAAATGGCAGTAACAACAATAAACAAAAAAATGTTCTTAGCCTTATATTCTGTGTAAGAAAAGAGGCTAAGTGGGTAACTTTTGTCGTACCATCCTACGTATGAACAGTAGTTGAACAGTCGACCCCGTGCTGAGAAAGCTTCCTCCACTACAAACTCTGGTGTCATGTAAACTCATGCAAACTTTGGCCTAAAGAAAACGTGCCTTTCTCTGTTGAACCTGCACCAATGAGAGCCGTGCCTCCTAAGTCGACTGACTTCCTGTTTCCTTCCCTTGCAATGGCCTAAATAAAATAAGCAAGTGGTTCTTTTGGGCTTTCTGAACATTTGCTGAATAAAAATGCTCAAATTTTGATTTTTCAGCTGAGTGCTGTTTCTGAGGGGTTATTATTTGAGACCAGATGTTAGCCAAAGTGAGTAAATGCACTCACTGAATTAATCAAAAACCCAGAGAGTTACCAAGTTAGTGAAACAGGGGAACAACTGAGCTTTGCAATTGCTGTTATTACCATAATGAGTCTGAGAGATCTGATGATGGTGTGCTTCACTTCACACACACACAGAAGAAATGTGATTAACAGAACTCATGTGTTATGTTGCCCCACAGCAGTAATAAACAGTAAAGTAAGGCAGCTATTTGTTCTTGTGCTCTGATCGGACATTTATCTGCTGTGTGACATGTTGTCTTACAGATCACTGGTGGACAACTTGACAAAGAACTTGAAAATGTATCTGTAGACACTTTGTTACCTGCTGCAAAAAGCTGTAATTTGCTCCAATTTCTTTAGTTGAATCTATAAAAATTTCTGGAGTTTGACAGGCATGCAATAGCATTTTTGCGCCAAAGATCTATCCAGTCTTTAAGTGATGCCGTGAGGAATCCTGCTTCCGGGCCCAGACTACCCTGCATTTAGTAAGGTTTTTGTGTTTTAACATGTTTTAATGCTTTGTATCTTGTTCTATTTAATCTTAAAAAAAAAAAAAAAGTGATCACTGACTCTCGGCCTCCCTTGGTTTTTATGACCACTATTAATTTTAAAGCTCAGTTTTTAAACCCTTACGATGTAACTCCAGCCCATGCAGCAGTATATTAGTGACTAACGAAAAAAACTGACTGACGAAAAAAGTTAGTGTTCATCCTCCAGCTTCACTATGCTAATCTCATGCTAACATAGCTGTGTAGCTATCATTATAAACCAGCTAGTCCAACTTCAGTAACCTTACAAACATCACTGCTGTTTAGTTTCCTGTTTTCATTTATGTCGGAAGTGAGAGCAGAGCTGTACGTCTTAATTTGTTTAAGAAATCTTTCAGTCAGCACAGGCTATATTATATTTAGATGGAAACTAGCGCGCTAAGTCTCTGCTAACTTCTAACTCTGTTAAATGTGATAAATTCTGCTTTCATGGATGCCTGGATGTTAAACTTAATTGTTACACCTGGTAGAGCAGAACGCTGATCATTTTATTACAGATGAAAACATTTAGACAGTTTTCCAACTCTCAGTAATGCCATAGTGATCGTTTGACTTTGGGACCTGCAGCGGAGTTTGGGCCCAGACACAACTAATGACGTCAGACTTAAAGACCAGATGAAAACCTGGCCATGTGTACTGAAATGAATGTGGTTACCAAGGAACAAATGTGCGGCTTAAGCTAAGGCTACAATAACAATGCTTAGTTTGATAAAAGATCCTTCATCAATACGGTTAGGGGACGTTTTTTTGTTTTGTTTGGTGATCGGTGAAACATTTTGGGACATTTTCCCATTTCCATTATTCCAAATTGATTTTGTTTTAAAGAAGAAATTACTCATGCAGCTGTTTCTCTGTTTCTTTGGCCTCGTGAGTAGACGAGCAGAGACCGTTGGAAGAAGCAGAAGAGCAGATTTGGGATTTTTAAAAAGAAAAAAGCTTCCAGTAACTTCTTAACATATTCACTCCATAATTACTTTACTATGAAGAGTTCACATCTATAAACCTAGTGTTTCCAAAGTATAGGTGAATAAAATGCTCACATTTTTTTACTAACATTACATTCACACTAGCATACACACACACACAGGGCTGAACCTTACCACGACTGTGGGCTGACGTCCGGCAGGTGCTCAACACTGAAATGAAAGTCAAACCACACAGTGTGTGAGTGCTTCTGAAAACTCCCAAACATTTGAGTCTATGTATTTGTGTTACTTATATTTGACACAAAGTTACGGGTGAAGCTCAGTCGTTATTTAACTTTCAGAATCAGAAAAGGGTTCATTGCCAAATGTTGAGCAGATTTACAACAGGAAATTGCTGCAGTACTTTGTGTGAAACATACTATTAGACAAACACTTAAATAAACGTAAAAACAGAAATAAAAAAAAGTGCTAAGCAACATCAGATAAAACATAACCAAGTATCACAATTACGTAACTCAGTGTGCCATGTAAACAAAGAGATCAAAATACATGTAGCAAAAATCCAAAACCATCTCTGTGGTTCTTAAGCTACAGTATAGTATATATAGTATGCTGTTTGTGATGAAAAAGTTTTGGGTTTGTTGTTCAGTACTTACAGAGCAGAAGCAAAACTGTCTTCATAGCGTCTGCACGCTGCAGTTTCACTGACCGTTTTGTAGCAAAAGTGGCGACAACATCCTGTTAAAAAACCACATACTGTTGGGGGGGGGGGACTTTAGCAAACCAAAAAGAACATGAGACATTTTAACCTTTACCTTGCATACCTCTGGTATTCATTAACATTTTTTAATTCCAATCAAAGCATCTTTTGTCATAGATGAGCTTTTTCCTATTATACTATCTTAATGTGCTTGTGAACAGAGCGAACACAGGAAAATAAGACACAACACACATCCTCTCTCTGCATTTTTGAAAGGTCAGCGCTTGTTTTGACACAGAACAGTACAAACAGGCAAAAGCCAACTGCATGGACAAACTGTACACTTGTTCCGTGTCTGTGTCTGTGTGTGGTGACGATGGTGGTGGTGGGGGGGGGGGGGGGGGGGGGGGGGGGGGGTCGTCACTTATTACTCATAGTTTCAAACCATGTGTAACAACAAGTAATCAAAAATCACAAGTTTCAAAAACTGCAGTTCCTCTGAAGTCCACTTGAGTCAGACCACAGTGCCCCTGCTGGGCAGCAGTTGATGGTGGAGGCCCCAGTGAACCAATTTCACTGTTAAAGTTGGCACAACGATCATCGGGCATCTAATAAGGATGCCTCCTGGGCATGCTGTTCTGGCCATGTGATTCCGTGAAGTGGGAGATTACATCGCTTAGCTGGCTCTCTTGAACCCACCCCAGAATGCAGCAGCAGATGGTTATCAGGTTGTCTTTTTGCCTTCCTTCAAGTCACGTCAGGTTCTAGTATTTTCTCATGATTCTGTTTGGGGCATGTTCATATTTCAAGCCTTGTTTTGTCCTGTAGCGTCCATCATGCTCCTGCTCATAATCATGTTCATGTCAGTTATCATAGTTTAGTTTTTCCAGTTTAGTTTTACCCCTGTTTGCCTTTTTGCTTTATTTTTGTATTCATGTTCCGCCACAATAAAAGGCTCGCTTTTTGTTTGTGATTTAGTTCCTCCTTCTCTCAACACACAGTCAGCTCGCACCTGCTCTGTCACATGATCCAGGATAGGTGGACATGTGGAGACATTTTTCATTTTGTACAATTAAATGAACCAAGCTGTTTGTTAACAGAGTCTTGCTATACAATATATGATTGGATACACAGAACTGTCACTGAACACTTTGAAGCTTCCCCTCTGGACTAGTTTTCTCACTTCGATAGTAAGATCCACCCTAACCAACCTCACGTGGGTTCAAAATACCAAGATGGTGATGTAAATATAGCTCGAGGCTTCATGCATGGACTTAACAGGGACTTGCATGTTTCTGCTCTCCCTCAGTGATGATGTCATGGTAGCTATGTCCATTACACATGCTTTCACTTGGTCTGCAGCAAATAACAATTAGCTCTTGAGGTTAAATGAATGCAGAAAACACAAACAACTTACATTAAACATTTAAATAAATCCAAAATTTCTTTGTGCCTACAAGTCTTGAATGACTTTCTTTCTTGTGGCCATCTGGACAAATTGCTACTCATGCCATTACTGTCCAGTAACACTTTTCTCTTTAGATGTCTTCCACCCACACTCACACATCTAGCTTCCTGAAAAGTATTTTATCACAGTATGTCAAGAATTAACACCTGTAGAATTGGAAAGCCCATTGTTTGTGCTTTGTTGATTATTTCATCAACCTGAGCATTACCACCTGTGATTTATGCATGGCCTGAAACAGCGATATCACCTCAACCTTTTTGCAGCACATTTCAGTCATAAAGTATTAACTATGGTTGCAAAGCGAATGCTACAAAAGCTGATATTGGTGCCTTTATGCAAAAATTTATAAAAGACCACAGTTCCACTTCGGGGGTTTTCTTTCCACTGGTGTCTGTCTGACTGACTGTGGTTATGACTGAAGATGTTTTGTTTGAGGTGACGAGCAGAAACAGGAAACACACGCGTCTCATTGTGTTTGTCATGCAACTCAGTTTAACTCAGGATGGTTGTGAATCTGAGTGAGATATTTGAAAGTGATATTTATTAGAATAGTTCAGAATAGAATAGGATAGAATAAACCTTATCACAAATGAGACATTTATATAGACACAAAGTAGTCCTATATACTTAAGCAACTGAAATTTGTTTGTACAGAACTAAACTGTGTTCTTTAATCTAACAGCTGCTGATGAGAATGACCTGCGGTAGCGCTCCATCCTACACTGTGGGTGTAAAAGTTTACTGCTGAACGAGCTCGTACAGGCTCAGGTGGAGATGGCTTAGACCCTTTTTGTGGAGTGCATTTGTGTTTGTGGACCAATGCAGTTTGTTATTGAGGTGAACACCCAGGTATTTGTACTCCACCCCCGTTTCAATGCCCAAATCCTGGATGTTCACTGTTGTAATAGGCGGTGACTAAGACCAACACTGCAAGTCTGGAGACACACAGCGTTTATCTGCATGTGGCAGGGTTGGGTTACAGACTACAAGTATGCGTGTGGGATGGTTTATAATCTGCACTGAAATCCAGTAGCTGTGTGATAATGGTTTGGTACCAATATTACATGAGATCCTAAAGAATATATGAAAAAATATTTTAAAATATGTGCGTGAATATTCTCACCTCTGTTCTTGACTGTACCTGGTCTTTGGTTCCTGTGGTAACGTGCTGAGATTGGTGCAAACTGTTTGCAAAATAAATGGTTTATGAGGTCTTGTTTCGAATGCCTAAGCTCTGGGATTTTACCATCCTTGCTCTTTTAAACCACATGTATTGTGGTATACATACATTCAAGGTTCAAGGTTCTTTATCTGTCACATGCATAGTTATACAAGTATAACACACAGTGAAATGTAGCCTGACACGCTCCTCGACACGTGCAAAAATTGGGGGGGGGGGGGGGGGGGGGGGGGGGGGGTAGAGGAAGAACATTATATATTTAAATATATGATGTATATACATTCGGTGAATGTGCAGTAGTAGCAGCCAGCAGGTGAATTCTGTACATTAAGTGAATTGAATAAGAATAGACATCTGACTATTTTACAGGATAGACAATGTAAACATATTTAAAATTTAAGGAATTTGAAATGTACATTGTGCCTTGGTTTAGTGTCTGGAAGAGTCCTGTCTCAGTCAATTATAGATGATGTGAGAGGGCGGGTGTGTGTGTTTAGGGCACGGATGGCTTGGGGATAGAAGCACCTCTTGAGTCTCTCTGTCCTTGCCCGGAAGATGCGGAACCTTCTACCAGATTGCAGAAGTTGGAACAGTTTGTTGCCAGGATGGGACGGGTCCTTCAGTATCTGCGCTGCTCTAGTCCGGCATCTCCTGGTGTAGGTGTCCTGAAGCGGGGGGAGAGCAATCCTGCAGCAGCGTTCTGCTGTACGGATCACTCTCTGGAGAGCTTTTTGGTCCTTAACACAACTGTTCCCAAACCACGATGTCACGTTCTGTGTGAGGATGCTCTCCACAGCGCCTGTTTAGAAAATCCAGAGGATCTTTGGAGAGACCCTGAACTTCCTCAGTTGTCGTAGGTGATACAGGCGCTGCCTAGCCTTTTTGGTCTGGACCTGAATGTGGGCAGCCCATGTCAGGTCTGAGGAGATGTGGACACCAAGATACTTGAAGCTATCATCAATGGAGCTCCACTGGAGCTCCATTGATGATAATGGGCTTGTAGTCTCTGTGCTGACCCCTTCTGAAGTCCACCACCAGCTCCTTGGTCTTGCCGAAGTTCAGCTGGAGGTGGTTGTCCTGGCACCACGATGCCAGATTCTTCACTTCATCCATGTAGGCCACCTCATCGTTGTTGGAGATGGCACCCAACACCACTGTGTCGACTGCAAACTTCACAATGGTGTTGGAGCCATGGGTGGCCACACAGTCTGAAGTGTAGAGGGAGTAGAGCAGTGGCGAGAGGACACATCCCTGAGGTGCTCCTGTGTTGATGGTAGCAGGCTTTATATTTTATAATTATTATAGATGTTTTAAGGCTTTAATACCCTTCACTACATGCTTTATACACTTTTCTCAGACAGGCATGAATATTTTCACACTTTTAAACACTCTCTAAGTTCAAACCATCGTAGAAAAAAAAGTCCAGAAATAGAATGAAACTAAAGATCAAACCCTTTTTTCAGGTTTAGAACATAGGAATAGAGCAGCTGCCAGAGAATTCAACATTTATGAATCAATCGTACGAAGTAGGGGAAGCAAGAAGAATGAGCTGAGTAAAGTTTAACTTATCTGACTGTTTTGTTTCGCTTAATGCACCTTATAATCCGGCGAACTTTATAATCTGAAAAATACAGTAACTTCTACCTTTCTTTAGCATGTCCAGATGTCCAACTTTTTGTGCGATGGTTAGCATCTTCCTCAGCCTTTTGGGTGCTACCACAGGTTCCTTTGACTGCAAAACGTTTCGTCAACATTGTTGTTTGTTGGGGAGAAAACTTACAGTAAAACACTTCAGAGTCACACTGCTAGTGATCGAAGATTAATGGGAATTTGACAAGCTGAATGCATTACAGGTGTACAGGAGACACGGCACGAGACTGATTGACAGTGGTCTACAGCCAATGAGGAAGCAGAACACTATGCGCTGTTTAAAAAAAAACATGCAAAATTGCACAAGAAAAATCCACAAAACAGGGAGGCCACGAATGGTGAACAGCAGGTAATGTTATAGCGTTACCTGCTCTAAAGCACACATTCAGTGTTGTGGACCATGATATTTTATTATAGCAACTAGAGCATGCTGTAGGTATTAAAGGTACTGTGCTGCAGTGCTTTAAACGATATCTATTTAGTAGACTCTACTTTTTTAATGTAAATCAAAAGTCCTCTTCACACACTTAGATGTTGTGTGGCTGTCCTGGCACACCCAAGAGCACAGCTGGCTCATTCAGCACTCAGCCAGATAACCAGGCAGTGTTAATCAGGCTCTACAACAGTTACAGGTGTTCTCGTCCTCCTCTATACTATCCATTTTATTGGTTTATTAAGCAGTGTAGTGACTTATTTGCTTGCTTCTG